TGATAAATCTCATGCGCTCACTAACCAGAAAGCTGGCAGTTCAAACCCACCAGCCACTCCTTGGGAGGGAGCTTGGGCAATCTACTTCCATAGAGATACCGCCTCGGAAACCCAAGGAGGGGTTACTATGGGTTGAATAGACTCCATGGCAGTGAGTTTGGTTTGGTTTTCGGTCCTTCTTGACTCCTTTCTTTCCTGACCAATCCATCAATAGACTCCATTAGCTTCATCTGCAAAATGCAGGATCCATCCGATCACTTCTCCCCATCCAAACCCACTGCTAGAAGTCTAGTGAAACTAACTTTTTTTTTTTCCTCCTTACAAATCATGTACTACTGAAATAGGACATTCCCAGCTGCTCTTCCTGTTCTCCATTTTATGTTCTTCACAAAGCAACTTTAATTTGAAAAATTATTGCTTGATTTTGCTTTACGTTCTGAAGTATAGCACAGAGACAGAAAATCACGTGAACCAAATGTGTTTTATTCAAATGTGAATTATTCTAAAACAAACACCCTTGTAACCACCTCTCAGGTAAAAAAAAAAAATGAGCTGCCAGAAACCCAGACGCTCCCCTGTGCCCTGTCCTAATCGACCCCCCTTCCCTGCTTTATGGTCTTACCACCTAGTGGGCACTCCTAAGACTATCATTTACTTTTGCCCCCTTCCCGCTCCCCAATTCCATATGTCTTTTAAGTTTCTTTAAATCTGTTAGTCTCCTCCATCCCTTTCTTTTTTTCTACAATTTATTTGTTGAAGAGCCTGGGCCGTTTGACCTGCAGAGGACAGTTTTATCTTAGAAAATACATCAAGTTTCTTCTCAGAACAAGAGGCTTCCTGTCTCCCCATCTGCATCCCCTAAGCCCCCACCCCCTCGTTTGCTCACTGCACCCCCAGCCCGTTGGTCTTCTAACACGGGTTGGGAGACAACATCTGAACCTTTACAAAAACAAAGTATGTTTTTCTACGAGTGGTACATAAAAGACCTATGCGCACTTCTGTGTGTATAAAATCTGAGATTCTTCTAACTTATTAATAAATACTTCCTTTCACTGGAAAAAGGAGCTCTGGTGGCACAGTGGTTAAGGCACTCAGCTGCTCACCAACATGTTGGTGGTTGGAACCTACCAACAGCTCATGTGTAGTGCGCTTCCATAAAGATTTACAGCTTTGGGAACCCCATGGGGTAGTTCTACCT